CCCCCGCCCCTGCCGCCTCCGCTGCCGCCACCGCACTTCTTCCTGTTGCCGCCCTATTGACAGCCCGGCCCTCCCGCGGACGCGTGGGTAGACATCCCTCCCCGGACACCGGGCTGTGCTCCTCGCCGCCTTCCCCACGGGCAGATGCGGAATGCGTGGGTCAGCGCCCTGGCTGGAGGAGAGGGGAGGGCCAGGGGAGAAGCCCAGGTTTGGGGGAGAAAGCAGCATGTCTGAAAATAAACTCATTTTTTCCATTTTCTCTTCCTGCTCCATAGCAAGCCTCTTGCCTGGTTATTTGAGAATGTAACTCCTTCCCTGTGCTGATAAGCTGGCTGGGAATCAGGGCGAGTGGGGCTCGGGGCCCACAGCACGTGGTTTGAGGAATGAAACAAAAGTTGAAAATGCTTTAGTAAGGTACCCAAAATGTCTCCTTTTCTTTCTTTTTAAGCTGCAAAAAGCTTTTTTGTTTCCGTTTGGTCCGATGCATGGGAGTGGGCTCAGGGTGGTTAAAAGAATGCCTGGTGGTTTCAGGGAGTGTCTCAGGCAAAAGACAGCAGGGGGATGAATGCAGAGGGGCCCCTCAAAGCTTCAGCTTCAAAAGCTCCTAGTGGTGCTTGAGGGTGAGCCTTCTGAAGAGATACTTCCCCAGCCCAACCTGGGGAGTTGGTGAGGTGGTCACCCATCTGCTTGGTGAGTTTCACCTCCTCATCCAGGAGGCGGTTCTCCAGGAAGTCACAGAGATGAGGGTCTATGCAGGTAAAATGCAGGACATGCAGAGCCAAAGAGCTTGGTTTGGGTTCTTCTCCAAAACCATGGCGGCTTCCATGGCATCCTGGGAAGGCTTCAGTACCTCCTAGAAGATAACTCAGCTACTGTACTGGTTTTGCATCTTTTAAGAGACCCTTGCACCCTAGCCGGTTTGGCTCAGTGGCTAGAGCATAGGCCAGAGGACGGAAGGGTCCCGGGTTTGATTCCAGTCAAGAGCATGTACCTTGGTTGCAGGCTCGATCCAATCCCTGGCCTTGGTTGGGGTGTGTGCCAGAGGCAACTAATCCATATGTCTCTCTCACATCGATGTTTCTCTCTCTGTCTCTCCCCCTCCCTTCCATTCTGAAAATCAATGGAAAAATATCCTCAGGTGAGGATGAACAAACAAACAAACAAAAACAAAAAAAGAAAGGTCCCAGGTTTGATCCTGGTCAAGGCCATGTACCTGAGTTGCACAAGACTTCATTCCGTGTAGGAGGCCACCAATCGATGTGTCTCTCACATTGATGTTTCTCTCTCTCTGCTTCTCTCCCTCTATTCCTCTCTCTCTAAAAAAATCAATGAAAAAATATCCTCGGGTGAGGAACAACACAAAATTATTTTTTTAAAAGGTGCCCTTGAGCTTCTCCTCGGCCAACTCACAACTCAAGGAGGAAGTGCCCACCCCTTCCAAAGCCACACTCATGGTAGAAATAGAAGCCCAGAGTGGGGTAGGTGTGGGAGGCCCACAGATGCAGTTGACCAGGCAGTTGATGGCAGCCTTTACCTCGGGAGAATAATTCCGACCATGGGAACTCATGGTTGTCCAG